TGAGCTCTCCGTTTTCTTCAGCATTATTTTACCGTTAGCCGTCCAGATAAACTTGTAGTTATGGTCGCGCTTGAATTGTAAAATTCTGCCCAGTAGTCGCTTTTTGTACGGCGTCAGGCTTTCACTGAAATGAATTAGTCCTTATGAATTACAGCCACAGATTCTAGCTCACAGACTACCGACGGTAGGTCTTTAGTCCGCTTAGATTTTAATCTTTTCCTGTTGCAGTAGATTTCGTCTCTTTTCTCTCTTCGAGTGAATTTTACAATTAGTCGATCTTTCACTTTCTTCGTCGGCGGCAAACGGTGAGCGATCGATATATCGTTTGGGCTGAGGTTCACTCCCATAATCTCAGACATTTCTTTTACCAGCAACGCTGGGTTATCATTTGGTACGATCGGAATACCCGAGTTATTTCGAGGCAATCTCTTCGTGCGTACTGCTCAAGCTCATCCAACTGGATCTCAATATTAAAAAAAACCATAGAGTCCTCATGGAAAAACCCAGGCAGCACTAAAAGTGGATGATTACATGGCGAATTTAAAATGCTTGCGAACCAAACAAGTAAGCTATAATTCCTCTGAGTACCCTGATATAATAAATAAGTATTTTTCTTCAGTTGGATATAAATTTAGCCTCTAAAATGCCAAATCCATCTAAACAATTGACTAAATATCTTCCAAAGTTAAATTCCTCTGGTTCGTTCTTCCTTAAACCTGTGTCTCCTTCTGAAATTGAACTTGAAATCTTGACTATTCCTCAAAATAAAGCTCAGTCAGTCATGGATTATATTCCCTACCTATTCGCATTTTAAGATCTGGTAAACATGTCATTAGTCAACCTTTGTCTATAATTATAAATAAATCACTCCAATGTGGAACTTATCCATCTAAGCTAAAACTTGCTGAAGTTATTCCAATATACAAAAATGATGATGAATCTGACCCTTGTAATTATAGACCTATATCTCTTCTGCCTGTTTTTAATCGTATTTTCGAAAAAATGATGTTTCGTCGTCTCAAATGCTTTCTTGAGAAACGTAATATACTTAATGATTCACAATATGGTTTCCGCGAGAAACGATCTACTTAACACGCTATCCTGGACATAATCAGTCAAATTGAAAATAACATCATTGGACAAAAAGCTGTATTCGTGTGGTATATTCATTGACTTGAGGAAGGCCTTCGACACGGTCGACCATTCAATATTATTGCAAAAGCTGAATCATTACGGAATACGTGGAATAGTGAACAAGTGGTTTGCTTCTTACCTAGTAGGTCGACAACAAACAACGCAAATTGGTATTAAAAATATATCCAAGAAGGAAGTAATATTATCAGGAGTTCCACAGGGGTCGGTGTTAGGACCCCTACTTTTCCACATTTATATAAATGATATATCTAATAGCTCTAATCGATTTAAATTTTACTCATTTGCAGATGATATTAATCCAATCTTATATGCTGATAAAAATCTTAAGTTACTCGAAACCGTAGTTAGTGCTGACCTCTGTAACATCTACGATTGGTTAATCGCTAACAAGTTATCACTGAATATAAGAAATCTAACTTTGTTATTTTTCGGCCTAGACAGAAAAAACTGAATCACCAAATAAATTTGAGAATCTTTGACCATCATACTAACAGTTATATTTCTTTAGAACGTAAGGAATTTAGAT